CAGAAGTATAAATCAAGAGGCAGCGCCCAGGCATTCATTGATTCCTGCGTAAGCCATGCGGAAACGTCTGCCACAATGACTTGTGCGAGGTGGTCTGCAGTGAGCCCGAAGACGAAGTGGGCGAGAAGGAAGCTTAGCCATCCCCTCGCCCTATGGATGTGCACTCACCCTATGGTACTTGCTGAGTCTGAGTCTGTTTGTCTCTTCTTTCTGCATTGAGTCTCTTCTGTCCTGGTGATAGGACTCCGTGTATGAAGGATAGGGCCTCGTTGACCAAACCCACACGGGCTGAGTAGGGCTAAAGACTGTGTCTGACGACTTTACTATCCCAGGGGACACGAACCCTCCCAAGGACCGGTACTGACCGGCGGGCTGCTCGGTGTGGCACGGTAGGCTCGAAATCCGAGTTGTGGGCTGCACAACGGGCCGTCTAAGTCTTGAGAGAACCTGCTGACCGCGTCGTCCTGTCTGCGACGTTAAATAATTCCTGAGGAGTTACGGGGGATCTCCTTAAATGCCTCCTGGTCAGCAACAGGTTCTGTAGTGACGGCTGTAGTGATTAGAGTCTAGGTTAGAGACCATAGTTGACAGGGCTCTCTACGAACCCTGTGGTCCATAGATTGAGTCAGTAGGTCGTGTCAGTTAGAGGGTAGGTCTAAGTGGTGAGGAGTGGGACAGTCTCTGTTGTGCACCTAACACCATGGACGATTACCCTATGTACGGCTTGCTGGTGGGGTTCTCCCTGTGGGGGACCCTCTAGCGTCTCCTCTTCCCTTTGGGATCTGGAACACCTTTACGTGCAGGGTAGACACGAGGGGTGGTACGACTACCAAGCCTTACACAGCAGAACAGGAGGCGAAAGCCGCCGCCCTCCTGAAAGAGAGAAGAGAGAAGGAGGCCAAGAAGAAGGCCCTAATGGAGGAACAAGCGGGGAAATTGAAGAAGATTGAGGAGGAGATGGCCAGAGAAAAAAAGAGGTTAAACAAAGAAGAAGAAGAGAATCTCAAGGCGGTAGAAGAGGAGGAACAGGTAGAAGAAACGCCACTGGAAAGGTGAAGGGCAGGAGGGAGAGGAGAATCCAGTGGAACAAAGGAAGACCAGTTGGAGAAGAAGATTACGGAGTGGGTTGTTGGGCTATCCCTGGGGGAAGAAGAGGAAGCACTGATGTATGTGCCCAGGGAAGAACAAGGGGCTGCCATGAGAGAGTGGGATGCAGAAGAAGACCCACTCAAGAGACAGGCGATAGAGGATGAGAAGAGGATGGAGTGGAAGTTCCGATTGACGAGGGAGAGGAAAAGAAGAATGGAGGCGGCGAAAGAATTGGAGGAGGTAAAGAAACAAAGAGAGCAGATGGCGACACAGGTGGAACTACTAGGGAAGATGGAAATAATGGCGAGGAACATAGAGCGTCCGGCACAAGTTCAGGAAGAGCAATACTTGTTTGGTAGAGGTCAGGACATCGCCGTGCGCTCTATACGGCTGGGACTTAGGGACTTTGCAAGGGAATTGGCGACATAGGCAGGCTCAGAGGTGAGGGCCCGCCTAGGGGGCATGGAGCGTTATTGCACGGGCGTCATAGAGGGCGCCAGGTTGACTGCTCCCAAGGAGGAGGAAGCATGTCCCCGTAGAGAGCCGGTTAAGATCAAGTTCCCTGCTTCCTATGGTGGGAAGAAGGAGGAGAACTTTGACAATTGGGAGGCTAACATTAAGACGTACTTGCATTTGCAGAAAGTTGCCCCAGACGAGCATGTCCTAATAGCGATTCATGCTCTTAGGGAGGAAGCAGCAAGCTTCGCCCGTTCCCTGTGTCGTGCCGCCAACTGCAACGATGATCTCGTTGCTTATTCTGCTTTTACACCCCTCAATGATTTTCTTAAGTTGTTGAGAGAACGGTTTGCAGACGTTTCCCGTAGTGTTAAAGCTTCAGACAAGCTGCAAACCATCCATTCTCGCCAATGGAAGAGTGTCAGGGCACTCAAGGGTGTGATGGATGAGCTAGTTGCCGTTCCTGACCATGGGGTCACCGAGACCCAGTTGGTCAACCTCTTCTACCGCGCTATGCCCGAGCCACTACGTGGGCATTTCTTTGAAAAAAGTTAGCAGCCTACCATGACCTACGATGCACTGAGCAGGGAAGTGGTAGCATTTGAAGCATGGTCCGCGTCAGTCTCCACTTTCTGGCACAAGGACCTGGACAAGGGCAAAAAGTGAAAGGGTCGCACCATCTCGGGTCAGGTCAAGACCAAGGATCGTCTGATCCTTACGTTAGACGAGGGTGGCGTCGACGAAGTCCCCTACGAGAAGATTGAGTGGGGACTAGAGGAGGAGGACAGTGGCGTTAGCCAAGGGAGGACTTGCGCTACTGTCGCAGCCGGAGGGAGGCCGCAAGGAGGAGGTAGAGGCCAGGGCCAAGGGGGCCGGGCCTCAGGGGGCCGTTCCCAAGGCGATCAGGGGGTTGGTGGTAGAGGAGGAAACCGCCAAGCGGGAGGAAGGGGTCAAGGTCCCCACAAAACCGTTCAGGGAATAGGTTGCCTAATAGGGGTAATAGATCACCCTATAGGAGAGGAGGATGGCACCCAGGTCTGCCACAGGGTAGGCCTTGGGAAGACTCGGGCCTTGACCAGCGCGTCTGGCAACAGCGTGTGGACCAGGGGTAGTGCATATATTGCGGTGACCCTGGACACATCATCAAATACTGTCCAAAGTATAGAGAGGCCCGATGGGCTGCCCAGGGGTCAAAAGGCAGCCGTCGGTAGGGGTAGCAACTGCCCCTACCGTAAGGCCATGTGGGGAAATGAGCGCGAGCTGGCAGGAAACTCCCACACCGCATGTGCCTATGGCAGAAGTTGCAGGCCAGTGCCTAGATAGTTGTCCAGAGACCGCTTGTGTTAGGGTCTCTCTAGGCACTTCCCTCACAGGCGTGGCCGATGAACTAAAGGAGAGGATGCCCGCCTGGGCCAAGATGAAGAAGGAGAGTAGAGGACAGCTAGTTTTAGTAGATGTAGAGATTTTCAGAGGTAAAGTAGGGGCCCTAGGTGATAGTGGGGCCACACGCAGCTAAAGGCGCTGCAGAAGTTAAAGTTGGGGCTAAAGGTCCAAAAGTTAGCAGACCCCATAGTAAGTATCCTCGCAGACAATCGCACAATGCGAGTAGAGGATTGTGTAGAGGGAGTTCAGGCATACTTCCGCCTAGAGAAAGATGGGAAAGTGGAGAAAGTTCTCCATTCTCTAACTCTCCTCGTAGAGGACAGCCTTCCCTTCGATATAGTCCTAGGAATGGACTGGGGAGAGGCAGCAGGGGCCACACTCCATTTGAGGGAACATGAGTGTAGGGCTCCTTAGCCCGTCAGGCGGGGTCGAGGCTGCCCATGTTTCATGTGTCAGGAGTAGACAACTCCTTGGCACATTGCTGCCTTAGCGCTCCTGCGTTCGCAAGGTTAGTGAAGGCGGAGCAGCTAGAAGAACAAGTCTTTGTAGCCTATGTCAGGCCAGTTACTGAGCCTAAAGAGGAAAAGCCCATAGATCCCGCTATTGCCAAGCTGCTGGAAGAGTATGTAGATTTAGCTAAGCCGCCTACGGGAGTAGTCCCTCGGCCCATCCAGCATCGCATTGAGATAGAGCCTGGCAGTAGGACTCCTAAAGGAGCAGTGTATAGGATGTCCCTGCGGGAATTGGAGGAGTTGTGCAAGCAGTTAGACGAACTCCTAGAGAAGGGTTGGATTAGGCCCAGTTCGTCTCCATTTGGAGCACCTGTTCTATTTGTCCCAAAGAAGGAGGGGGAGCTCAGAATGTGCATTGACTATAGGGGTCTCAATGCTATCACAGTGAAGAATGCGGAGCCACTACCCCGTATAGATGATCTTTTAGATCGGGTGCAGGGTTGCAAGTATTTTTCGAAGATAGATCTGAAGTTCGGATATCATCAGATAGAGGTCCATCTTGATGACCAGTATAAGACCGCGTTTCGGACTAGATATGGGCACTACGAGTTCATAGTCATGCCCTTTGGACTAACCAACGCGCCAACGACTTTTCAGCGTTGTATGAATGATTTGTTTAGGCCTTGGTTAGATAGATTCATAGTAGTTTACTTAGATGACATTCTAGTGTTCAGCAGGACCCTCCAGGAGCATGAGGGTCATCTGAGGCAGGTCTTGGAGAAGCTGAGAGAGGCTAACTTCAAGATCAATGCAAAAAAGTGCGAGTGGGCAAAGACCCAAGTTTTGTATTTAGGCCATGTCTTAGACGGAGACGGCATCAAACCAGAAGATAGTAAGATCGCAGCGATTCGGGATTGGCCGACACCCCGCACGTTGACAGAGTTGCGGTCGTTCTTAGGCCTAGCTAACTATTACAAGAAGTTTGTAAGAAACTTCTCCACCATCGCTGCACCCCTTCGCAGGTTGTTGAAGAAAGAAATAATCTGGAAGTGGGACAAGGACTGCACGTCTGCCATGAAGAAGTTGAAGCAGGCATTGATAGAGTACCCAGTCCTTACGGTAGCCGATCCGTCCTTGCCTTTTATCGTCACGACTGACGCGAGGCAGTATGGTATAGGTGTTGTATTACAGCAAGACGATGGCAATGGATATAGACCCGAAGAGTTTATGTCTGCTAGGATGCCTTCAGAGAAGGTAGCGACATCTACCTACGAGAGGGAACTCTACGCTCCCAGGCAAGCATTAGAGCACTGGAAGCACTACTTGCTTGGGAGGCACTTCAAAGTCTACTCAGACCACGAGACATTAAGGTGGCTGAAGACGCAGACCAAGATGACACAAGCTTACTAGGTGGGCCGCGGAGTTAGACCAATATGACTTTGAGCTGAAGTCGGTCAAAGGGAAGTATAATGTAGTTGCGGACGCCCTGAGTAGGAGAGCTGACTACTTTGGAGCGATAGTTCATTAACTGGATATAGGAAGAGACCTGCAACAAAAAGTTAAAGAGGCGTATGCGCAGGACCCTATCTATGGTGACCTCCTCAAGAGAGTAAAGGAGGCCCCAGAGACCGAACCGGACTAGCGCACTACTGATGGGTTACTGTTCGAGAAGACTAACGTAGTTGACCGATTTTGCGTTCGTAACAGTGAAGAGATCCGTAGTCTGATTCTAGGGGAATGCCACGATACTGAGGGACATTTTGGTTGGCAAAAGACTCTAGCTAACCTCATGCGCGCGTACATATGGTATGGGATGAAGGTTGACTGCATAGAGTATGTTCGCAATTGTAAGGTCTGCCAGAGAAATAAGACCTCTACGCGTGCCCCTCTAGGTCTTCTCAGACCCTTGCCTATTCCTGATCAACCAGGAGATTCAGTGTCGATTGACTTTATGGACACCCATGTCAAGAGTCGGCATGACAAGAGCCAAGTCATGGTAATAGTTGATAGATTCAGTAAGTATGCTGTTTTTGTTCCTTTACCTTCAGAAGCACGCACAAAATTAGCGATTCAGAAGTTTTTTGATCATTCGGTCAGTGAACACGGGATTCCACTGTCTATAGTTAATGATAGAGATACTCGGTTCACTAGTCAGAACGGGCAGGAGTTGATGAGAGTCTATGGCTCCAAGTTGTTGATGTCATCTGGCCGTCATCCAAAGACTAACGGTCAGACTGGACAGATGAACAAGATCCTGCAACAAGTTCTGCGTATGTACATTAGACCGGATCAAATCAATTGGGATGAGATGTTGCCCAAAGTAGCCAGTGCATACAATAACAACGTGCACTTGTCTACCTGTCGCACTCCCAACGAGTTGCACAAGTCCTTTAGACCATGCAGGCCGTTTGAAGGACTTAACCGGGATCAAATTCACAGGCTACCGCCCGATACTAGGGAGTTTGCGCTACGGCACGAGAAAGAGTTAGCTACCGTGGTAGAGAACCTCACGAAGGCCCAGCACCGAATGATAGAACAAGCTAATAAGCACCATCGCCCGTCACAGTTTCAAGTAGGCGACCTGGTCTGGGTCAAGTCTAAAGAGTTTGCTCCTGAGGAAAACATCTCGCAGAAGTTATTGCCCGCGTATAGAGGACCGTGGCCAGTTCTAGAAGTTAAGGGCGGAGAGGATGGGCCGTCCTACACAGTAGAGATCCCAGCACACCTCCACACCTACCCTGTATTTCATGCCTCAAAGTTGCTGCCGTGTGTCATAAGTCAACAGTTTCCATCTAGGAGATCCATGATTCCTCCAGAGATGGACGAAAGATACGACATTGACGGCATTGTAGGTGAAGACGTATTCAGAACAGGAGGTAGAGGTCGTCCGCAGAAGCAATACAAGGTTCGATTTGCTTATCAGGAACCAGAAGATGACCGCTGGTTTACTAGAACTGAACTTCTAGAAACAGCTCCCAGCATAGTTAGAGCCTACGAGAGAGATAAGAAAGGTGAAGGTCCTGCCTTGGACTGAGTTATTCTCGGAGGACCTCGAATTTAGGCCGGCGGGAGTGAAACGGTTTTCACCTGTTTTCACCTGTTAGCAGTAGCGAATGCAGATCCCAGGGATCGATCCCTAGACCTCACCTTACCTGTGTACAGTATCGAGTTGATCCCCGAGTGTTTGAACCCGTGACGTGTGTTTTGTTCGTTGTTGCTTGTCTGTCGTAGGACTGTGCAGATGTAGGGATTCGATCTGTAGGTCTGTCGAGTAGGGGTCACAGCTCTGTAGAGGTTGTAGCTATAGGTCTACTGGAAGGTCAAGGTCATAGCTGCTACAACCCTGAAAGGTCGAAGTCGTAGCTGCTACAGTACCCGAAAGGCCAAGTCCATAGACTTCCAGAAGGTCCCGGAAGTGGCCTTTCGGAGTGGGCTCACGTTTAGGCAGAGGCAAGTGGGCAAGTGGTGGAGCCAACCTCAGTACCTTGGCAGTGCGGCTGCAGTGAGTCTGCGGTGCAAACCCATGTAGTCACCGGTACCGGTCCAGTCAGTCCCAGTCGAGTCCAGCAAGTACCATGAGGGACTGTGTGCACCAYGGGCCGATGGAAAAGGGCAGACCAGCGAGTTACAGAAGTATAAATCAAGAGGCAGCGCCCAACCATTCATTGATTCATGCGTAAGCCATGCGGAAGCGCTGCCACAGCGACTTGTGCGAGGTGGTCTGCGGTGAGCCCGAAGAGGAAGTGGGTGAGAAGGAAGCTTAGCCATAGCGATAGGGTAGCAGCGGCCATAGTCGCCATAGCTGTAGATATGTGCGGGTGTGTGTGAGTGTACAAAGTGTGATGCGTGTGGGATGTCAGGGTGATCCTGTGTGCGAACAGCAGTGTTGAGTAAGTGACGAACAGAGAGTTGTACGGGCGATGTGCCGCCATAGCCATTTGAAGTGAACTTGTACCTGAGCTGCGTTCTTGGTTACTATATCTCTAAGTTCTGAGTGGGCGCTTGACGCCAGTTGCTGCACAACCTGTATGCATGCATGTGAAGTGTGAATGGAAGCAAGTCTGATTGCAATATCAGGGGTTTGCGCTAGTCAGTCTGTTGGCGTGCGGTACCGTATACAACAACCCTTGTCAGTGGAGGACGTTGAGATTAGAGAAACGGGTGCCCTTCACACAGAGTTACAACATAGATACTGGAGGTAGAGGATAGACGAGGTAGAGCTAGAAGAAGAAAGCCTAGACTAGAGGCGAGGGACGTGGAACTAAACTGGGTAGAAGCTTCGGATGTGGAAACCCCTAATAAGCGGACATTTTGGTCTAGTCAGTGTGGCCGAAGTACAAGTTGTGTCTTAGGAAGTGCTGGCCACACTGACAGCCGGTCAGAATTAAATTATGGTTGCACAGAGAGGCCCCAAGCCTACGGTGAGGCCTGCACAACCCGTTGTAGTTCCCCCAGCGGTGGCCGGTGCGCCTGTGTCATTGCTGCCTATGAGCGGTCTCTCGGTACCTCAGTACGACAAATTTCGAGCAGGCGGTTCATCAGTAGATAGTAGTGGCAGACTCCAGGATCCGCTTCATTTGTCCCCTTATCAATTGCTGCAACTACAATGCGGCAGCCGGGCCAGCGGCTTGTGCAGCAGGTTAGGCAACCTGTTCCTCCGGTCCAGTCACCGGTGCAGCAGGCACATGTGGTTGGTCCAGAGCCAGAGACACGCGTCTAGAGAAGGGAGAAAACGTTGCTGCAGCAAGGTAGTTGGATGGGTAGGCACAGGGCGATGGGCACAACTGTCATCTTGATTCTTGGGCTAGGGCCAGGCGTCTTGATCAGTTTCTGTTGTCAGGGGAAGAGATGAGACAAAAATGCCGTAAGGTACGGCTTGCTACTCATAAGTTCTCCGACATGGAGGGAAGACTAGTTATGTCCGGGGGCGTTGTGCGATAATCCTGTTCGTTCGCTACTCACATTAGATGCTTACCTACTGGAGTAGGAAGTGAGTCCAATCAGGCTACATACGATTCTTCTTCTCCTAAACAGCTTAGGCTTGGACTACAAGGTCGAGCTAAGTAACGTGAGTGAGGGCATGGATGATAGGAGGAAGAAGAAGCCACCCCGGGATCGACAGAAGGACAATCTTGGGGTACAGACAGAGCGAGTAGGCGGCCATGAAACGAGAGGGAGGAGTGTTGGCCGTTTGTATTTAGGCTGAGGCGACTGATATGCGGAAGGGCAACCAGTCTAGGAGTCAAGGGAAATTTCCTACTCTATCTATGAGGATGAGAGAGGGTCTTGGATGTGCGGATAAACCGGCTTGTAATGGGCACCAGCAAAGTGCATGGCATGAATGGCCAAACCAAGCCGAGGGGACCAGTCCGATTGGTCACCACAGGGATGCAGCCTAAAGAGGGGTGAGGCACCCTCAACCCAGGGAAGCACTGCAAACACTTCCTTGGGAAGCACATCCGGCCTGCAGAAGTAGTAGCCGCGTCCGCTCTTGTTGAGGTGGTGGAATCCCTTACCATCTCAAAAGACGGCCAAGGTTACTGACTCCTTAGTTAACCCGCAGGCACATCTGGACCACATGAAGCTTTGTTCATGGGGTGTGTTATCAGTCCTTAGAGGAGCTCGATGGTGAGACCTGCTAGCTGCCTGGGCGACCAAGTGAAAGGTTCCAAGGATCTGCTAGACAACAATGTAGGTGGTCGTGGGACTTGCAAACATTGTTCTACCTAAGACTACACTAGTCGCATTTGTATGATAAGTTTGCACGATGGGACCGTGCGCAGCGGCTAAGGCGATCTGTAGTATCCAGCTTAGCCAATACGAAAGCATTAGTGTGTCGGGGCTACTTAATAGATGTAGCCGGTGCTTCCTCCTAAGGGGGAAGGCAACTAAAGAAAATATTCTAGCTGTCGGGAAGTGAAAAAGTTTGTGTTATGTACGACTTCAAGGTTGCAATGCCCTTATTTGGACAAAGGCAATCACAATGGGAAATATAGCTATCTTTAAACCTTGGAGGGGCAGGCCCTCCAAACCTATTTAGAGTAAGAAAATAAGTGTCATTAAGTGTCCAAACCTTCTTAGGAGCCGTCAGGAGTTGTAAGCAATGAGGCTGCCCAAGAGATAGGGAGCATTCCTTCTACCGAGGGATAGACCTAGAGGATACCGCCTATGATGCTGGACAATGACTGACAAAGCTAGGGAGAAGGGATAAATAGGGTCACATGCGTCTTCCTATAAATTTTCAAATAGATTAATTGATAAAAGAAAGATACGGGGACGTAGTAACCAAGGATAATAACATGAATTTATAGGAGTATCCTATAACAAATGACTGAGAATAACTTATTTTTAGAAAGATAACATGATGTGGCAACATACGTCAGGAACGGGGAATTTTCAGTGAACCTACTCCATGGGTTTCCAAAGTCCACTACGTAAGTTAAAATCCTTCCTTATTTAATATAGTCGGTGTGTCAAATATACTTGAAATCAGACAGACAACAAGAGCAAGATTTTTATGTAGAGGACCTACTCTAAAAACATGCTAGGATAGTCGCCATCTCTCAAATTGTCGGGGCCTAGTCCTTTATGGACAAATCACGGGAACGCGTTGCTGGACTGCACAAAGACCAATAGTATTAGAGATGATCTTTTCTCCAATGAAGGTGGAAGAAAGTGAGTGAACAGATGTGCAGTCAATTGCAAATGACCTTCAGGAAACCATCCTGAAAGTGAAACAGACATTTAGTTGCGTCGAAAGCATAAACCAACGACAAACTTTCTCACATTAGAAAACCGATCAAGAGCGGCACGTGTCAGCTTAAAGGGAGCTAACAAGCGGCTCAGTAGGTTTTCAATTTGCATATGAGATCAAGGGCAGTCCACACTTCATGTAGGAGAATGAGTCTGATTGCCGTTTTCCTTACTTGAAAGGAAGACTAACATCTCTAATAATACTATATTCTGATTATTGGGTAGTCCTAGATACAACGAACAATGTTAAAGATAGTCTTTCCTACGAGATGCAGATCTCTAAGCATTATAATCCTGCGTCATAGAGATAGCGGGTTTTTCACATGGTGTATTACAAACGGCAGGACAATGACCTGTTGAAACTGGAGTTGGACTCCAAGTGGAATTGACTTCCTGTAACGAGGCAGAGACAGGGCAGCGAGGCTAGGAGAGGGAGGGAGAGTGAGAGCACACACACACGCTCACTCAACTCGACGCAGATTCGACACGACTCAACGGACGTAGACACAAAGTGGCAAAGTCTCAAAGTCATAGTCTTGGATTCCTGAACACAATGTTGAAGCATAGTCACACTAAACACAAGCAATGAGGCTGAAAACTGGTTGCCCGTACTGGGCTCGGACTTGAGACCGGACTCAAGTTCAGTCCCGAGGGCAGAAGTGCAAATTGCCTTAGGGCTGAACTGAAAATCAGAGGTCTTAGTCTGGGCGCCAGAATGGCGGATGGCGCCAAGTATCGAAATCCGAAAATGCCAAAAGAGGAATTTGAGAACGGGCGCCAAGTGCAGTGCGCGCCAACAGTCAGGGGCCTGAGAACAGAGACCCAAAAATGAAATAGCAGCCTGGCGGGTGCTAACCCACGAACCAAGGATCGAGCCCTGGCTGAGTCCGTAACACTATCCCCTCCCTCTGGAAGGCAACGTTCCGGCTGCCAAAGACCTGATGAACAACTGTGAAGAACGGGACGGGGCCGATCGCTGGTCAGAAAAGGAAAGGGGGAGTAATGCTACAAGGTTGAAGTAACAGGAAATAGGGCAATACTATTGATGTTCTACGCGGATGAGGGAATCAATGCTCAAGTAATAGGGTACTCCTATTGAGGTTCTAGAAGGTTGAGGGTAGCAATGTTCAAGTAACAGGGTGATCCTATTCAGGTTCTATAAGTAACAGGGCAGTCCTATTGATGTTCTACAAGGTTGAGGGTAGCAATGTTCAAGTAACAGGGTGATCTTATTGAGGTTCTACAGGTAACAGGGCAGTCCTATTGATGTTCTACAAGGTTATAGGTTGTCAGGTTTGAGAAAAAGAAAAAGAAAATAGTGTGTTCAATGCTCAAGGGTTGGGGTGTCTGAGGAATTTGGGGAAAACAAAGTCTCGGGTCTGTAACAAAGTGTCAAAATGCGAAAAATGTCTTGAGGAAGGTCTTCAGAGGTCTTGATCAGATCCAGGATAGGTGAGAGAACCGGTCTTCAACGGCTGCAACAGGTAGTTGTCGAATGTCCAAGCTGCGGGAAAGTGAAGTAGGAGTACAAGTGTCCAAGTGCAAGTGCTGGAGTGCGTTCGGTTCATGAACTACAGGGAAGTCTAATCCGGTAGCAAGGAAATCGCAGACTGATGCAAGGGTTCAGATCACATGTCGCTGCTCCAGTAAGTCCGCAAGTCCAGATGTCGGCCAAGGAAACAGCATGGCGGCCAAACCAGCTGCATTATCTTCCTGATCACGAGGCAACAAGCCATCGTCCGTGTGCGCTTCCCATTAGATCCTTTATTGTCGGCGTCACGCAGGTCCACAACCATTGGTCAAGAGAGACAGAGAGTGTGGTAGAGGACAAATGGGAAGGGCTTAAGCTGAGGCAAGGGAGGATCAGACAACGAGAGATCAAGATCAAGGGTAGGGGTTAGGCTGGGTTCAAGGGTGGTGTGTGTAGAGTAGGTATGTACAGGTCAAGGCGTAGACAAGTAGATAGCTATGAGACACGGTGGGTACGATCATAGGCACGGACATGTTTCATGGTGTTCTTTAGATTTGCAAGGGTTGTTGATTCTTCGTCTGGGTATCCTGTCCATTTTACTTTGTATTCTGTGATAGGCTCGGGGTGGTTGGATACTTGAGTTGTTCTACGGCCGATGATTTACTCCATAGAGAATTCAGGACCGGTGGACGAGGATGAGGGCGATTAGAGAATTGAGGAGGTGATTCGTGAAATTCTTTCAAGTATTCTACATGGAAGACAGGATGGACGTTGTTCATGTTAGGAGGGAGTTGGAGCTTGTAATTTACAGCAGATGTGTTTTCAATGATGGGGAATGGATCGAGCCACCTGTTCGAGAGTTTCTTAGACAAGCCTTGTTCGGGATCAAAGCGTTTGGCAGAGAGCCATACTTTGTCCTCAACATAAAAAGTGACGTCACGACGATGTTTGTTCGTTTGCTTGGCTTGTTGTTCCTGAGTTCGTTGAATAGATTCAGTGGCTTCTCTTAGGAGGCGGTTCATTGTGGCAACCCATTCATTGAGAGAGGGACAGGGAGTAGACGGGTTGAGCTGCGAGGGAAGCAAGAAGTCGGAGGGCAGGCGAGGATGGTAGCCAAGGTCAAAGTAGAAAGGAGACATGCCAGTGGAGGGGCAGACAACGTTGTTGTAGGCGATCTCGGCAGCGGAGAGGAGCTGGTCCCAGTCGTGCTGATGGGGATGACAATACTTCCGGAGGATGCGTTTGAGAGTATCATTCATTTTCTCTGTCTGACCATTAGTCTGGGGGTGAAAGGCGGTTTTGTACTTGAGGGTGGTCCCGTATTCCTTGAAGAGATCTCTCCAAAACTGTGAGAGGAATCAGGAGTCACGATCGCTGATGATGTTTTCGAGGAGACCGTGATGACGGATGGCATGGTGGAAGAAGAGTTTGGCGACGGCCTTGGCTTGGCAGGTGGTGGTGCAAGGGATGAAATGGGCGCGCTTGGTAAGGCGACAGACAACGACATAGATGCAATTGTGACCATGGTCGGTCGTGGGGAGACCACAGACGAAGTCCATGGAGACACATTTGCCAGTGGTGGGTGGGTATGGGGAGAGACTGGAGTTTGCCAGCCTTGGCTTGATTGGAGGGATTGACGGTTTGGCAAGTAGGGTAAGAACGGATGTAGGCTTTGACGTCGGCAAGGAGCGAGGGCCAGTAGAGATAATGGGAGATGTTGCCGAAGGTTTTCTAGAAACCGAGGTGTCCGACAGTCTTGGCGTCGTGGTGTACAACCAAGAATTGGGTACGGAGACCACGTACGGAAGGGATGCAAAGGCAGCAGGTTCCTTTGGTGTCGATGTAGAGGAGATGGTCGATGAGGGAATAGTCGGGGACCGTGTCAAGGTCACGGAGTTTGGTGTAGGTAGTGGCGAAGTCGGGACAGGAGGCGTAGCCATGGATGAAGCGATGCTGGAGAGATTGAGGGAGGTTGACATGCGTCATGGCAGCAAAGACTTTCTCAGGGGGCTTGTGATCGGGTCGGCGAGAGAGGGCATTGGCAACACGATTGGTCTTACTGGGACTATGGTAGATTGTGAAGGTAAACTGGCGAGCAAGTCCAGCCAGCGGGCCTGACGAGGGGTGATATCCTTTTTGGTGAGGATACTGGAGACGACGGTGTTGTTGGTGCGAATGGTAAAGTACTGGCCATCGAGGTAAGGGCGCCGACTTTAAGGGCATAGATGACGGCGAGGAGTCCCTTCTTATTGGAGGGATAGTTCATCTCAGCAGCGATGAGCTTCTTACTCGCGAATGCGATAGGGTACTCATCGGGAGGTGCTTCAGATCGCGTGGGGGAATCTTTGATAGTGGGGGGTTGCAAGGAAATGTTGGGATAGAACGGCGCCAAGGGCAAAGTTCGAAGCGTGGATGGTGACGTAGAAGTGGCGAGAAGGGTCGGCGATCTTGAGAACAGGGGCAATAGTGATGAGGTGTTTGAGTTTGTCGAAGGCGGCTTGGCGGCGTTCGGTCCATGTGAAGGACTCGGTGGCGCGGGAGAGCTCATGGAGCAGATAAGCGGTATCAGAGAAGTTTTGGATGAAGGGGCGGTAGTAGTTAGCGAGTCCAATGAATGACCAAAGTTGGAGCAAGGTGGTGGGATGTGGGAACTCAACGAGAGTGGGGACCTTTGAGGGGTCCATGTGGATACCATCAATGGAGACAATGTAGCTTAGGTAGTCCACGCTTGAAGCGGCAAAAGTGCATTTGCTCAGCTTAGCATAGAACTTTTGCGCGAGGAGGATGGAAAATACCTTTTCGATGTGCTGAAGGTGAGACTCGAAGGTGGGACTGACGACAAGGATGTTGTCGAGGTAGATCACGACACAAACTTCGAGGAGATCGCATAAGATGTGGTTCATGGTGGACCGGAAGGTTGCTGGGGCATTTGTGAGGCCGAAAGGCATCACTAGGAACTCGTAATGCCCGAAGCAAGGGCGGAAGGCGGTCTTATGGGTATCTTCCTCACGAATACAAAACTGGTGGAAGCCACTACAGAGGTTAATCTTGGTGAAGTATTTGGCTCCACGGAGGCGATCAAGAAGTTCAGATATTCAGGGGAGTGGATACTTATTCTTGATCGTGATCCGGTAGTCTGTGCACATGTGGAGCTCTGAGGTGCTGCCCTTTTTGACGAAGAGACAACTGGTTCCGAAGGGGGATGAGCTAGGCTTATTGAATCCTTTTTCAAGGAGTTCATTGAGTTGGCGCTTCATCTCTTCGGCCTCGGAGACGGAGAGTTGGTACAGAGGGCGGCAAGGAGGAGAATGGCCGCGTTCGAGGTCAATGGTGTGAGATACATTGCGATCGGGTAGCAAGCCGGCAGGCAAGGACTGAGGGAAGACGTCCTTGAAAGCTGAGAGGAGAGAGGTGATGTGAGGGTTGGATGGGGGGGCTTGGTCCAGTTTGTCCGTTGGAATCAAGTCCCAGGACGCTTGCAGTCGATGACAAGGCAATAGTAGATGGAGTCAGGGTGTTGGCGAGACATGTGGAGGAATTGGTGGGGGGAGACGGGGGTTGGGTGGTAGGGGGGAGAATGTAAGGGATGTCAATGGTAGAGTTCGAAGTAGAAGAGAGGCCGACGAAGGAGGTATAGAAAGAGTAGGGCATGTAGCGATCAATCCAAATAGTTCCTAGGATGACGTTGCACATGAGGTGCATGACGTCAAAGGAGATCTGATTGCGGAGGGAGCTGACAGTCATGATGACCTCTTGAACTGTGCGATCGATGATGACGACTGAGTCCTTGTCCCCTAAGCGAATGGTGATCGGGGAGTTGTAGTCGGTTGAGGGGAGACCGACTTTGCAGACACAGGCGTCGGTAATGAAGTTGTCGTTAGCCCCGCCATCGAGGAGGGCCCAGAACTTCACTGTCGATGGGCCGAAGCGTTGTCACGTGGGGATCCCCGGGGCCCAAGCCGGGGTAGGGGTTTC